AGTCAAATAAATAAAGAAATAAATAAATAAGTGATAAAGGATTTGGGTGAAAAAAAAAAAATGCTCAAAAAAAAAAAATATATATATATATAAAAAAAAAAAAGAAGAGAGAATTTAAATTTATTGATTGGCAATCAAAATGAAGAGTACAAATTGATCTTAAACATTAAGATTATACAACTCTTCTTTGCTAATATCCAACAACTCTTCTAAGCTTTTTAAGTATTCTTCGTCTTGCGCGGGGACATTCTCTACAGCGGCGAGTTCATCCTTGACTTCAGCAATTTGAATGGTGATATTCTCATTAACTCCTTGACGTCGCTTAATAAGGGAAATATTCTCTCTTTTTTGCTCTTGTAAAGAGCGAAGCTTCACGTCAATATTCTCCACACACCCCTCTAACTCCTTAATAGCTTCGCACTCCTCAACATGCCTCGTCTCAAGGTGCGACAGTCGATCTTTGATCTCGGAAATCTGTTGGTTACGAGCCGCTAAGGATACGGCGTCGATCGAGTCAGAACATGCCTCATCAAAAGATGCAGCGTCATCAAAAAGGGCCTTGACTCGGTCCTCAATATGAGAAATGTCAGAATACTGAAAGCTTTTCATTGATTGGAGCACTACATCAACCTCGTCCTTAATCGAGGAAAGCAAACGAGCTGGTGTCCTCAAAAGCTTACCCCGAAGATCCGACCATACTTTTCCTATATATTCGCGTTGGATCTCTTTCACAAAATTCGCGCCACAGAATTCTGAAACCGCGGGCACAACGGAATGAACAACTATTGGCTTGGTTGGAGCATCCTTTACTTGCTTATTGCAAACACCTCTGCTTTCTCCAATCACCTCAACAATAGAATCTCGGCTCGCCATCTTTTCATCCATACTCGGGATTCTTTGCTCCAACTGAAAAAGGGGATAAAAAAAAAACGGATCATGTCAAAAAAAAAAAAAAAAAAAAAAAAGAGAAAAAAGAGAGATAGAAGTTACCTCTCTCGCGAAATTGCTCGAAGAATGGTGTCGGCTCGAACGAGGACTTGACGGGTTGATGATATGAGGATCTCGACGAGCTCGCTTCCAATGAACATCATGCTCACTACTACTTCGTTCAGAGACAGAGGGTACCGCCCGCTTTGAAGAACCGACATTGTGAGTACTTGAATTTCCATTGTTCCTCTCAGGAACACCCGAGATAAGTAGCGGCATTTTTCGAGCTTTATCCGATGGCTTGGTCTGATCGGTGGTCTTTTGTACCGGCGGGATATACTTATCCAAGAAAGACCCGCAAACTTGAGTCCACCACTTCTTGTATACGTCGGAAGAAAATCCCCTCGGAATCGCAGGAATGCGTGGAAGAATAACTTCGGCTGAAGATTTCAAGTAAGTACTTTGGTGCCAATGTTGATAGCCTTCCTCAAAAGCGCAGCAACGGACGTCTTTCAAAAGAACTCCGGGAATCTCTTGGAAAAAACCAAATTGACGGCAAAAACGGTGGGGACTATACGGCTCCACGAAGCATCGAAATCCATCCCGCAAAGTCAGAAAACAAGAGCGAATGGAGATGAAGTATTCTTGCTCGTAGTCTTCGCGCTTCCCGTCATCAACAAACCGTACGTCGAAATCTTTCGTGATCATGGTGCAAGCCCAACGAAAGTAGTCACCACGTAAAATCTTCCGGCATGCAACATCTGCTCTATACGCACGAGCACTAACAGCCCCGGAGTGCTTCACCATCCCCGGACCACGGATTCCCTTCCATACGCCGTAGTGGGTCTGAAAATACTCAGCGATCCATCCGGTCAAAAAGTGGAGAGGAATTGTCGACCGAACTTTCCCAGGACATGATGAATCTGCGATCTGGTTTAGCCCCTTATAAATACTGGTTAAGACTGGAATGGCCAAGCTTACTGGAAATCCCGACGCTAGGACACTTGCCATCTTGAAAGTCGAAGGACGTATCAAACCAACATCGTCGAGCGGAAGCACAAAGATGCAAAGCCAACAAGAAAGGAACGCTGCGAGGAAAGTCTCCTCAAGGTGCTCCCGTCCAACTTTGAGTTTGGCAAAAGATGACTCCTGCGCCTTCGACCATGGCTCGTGGGCACCAATCTCTCCGGTAGGATTGTAAGTCGCATCAGGCCGAGAAGAACGAGTAGACTCCTTGCCACGACGAATTTGAGGACGCTCGTATTTGACGGTCTTTTCGCACCAAAAAGAAATCCAGTCGGTTGTGCGGACGCCTCGTCGACCTTTGTCACGACTCCGAAGAAGGTGATAGGCATGCAACAGGTATCGGCACGAACGGGGAACCAGCTTCCTATCCTCTTTACTGCCATATAGCTCCTTTGCGCTTGGTACCACCTCTTCGTAAAATGAGCCGAGTATGGGGAGGCCCGCCAAGGACGCCAAGTCACGGAGAGAGATCGACACTTCACCGGCGGCAGTCAAAAGGGTGTTGGTTTTGGGACACCACGCCTCGCAAACGGCCTTGACGATCTCCGGAGAATAGTCGTAGGAGAACAAGGAAGCATAGACCGCATCGTAAATGCATCCTCTCTTTAGTGGAATCTCGCATCGATCCAGCACATCCTCCGCCCATTCCCAATAGCCGGCCACGTACGAAAAGTTGCCATCAAAAGAAGGAAGACCATTCCAAACGCACGCCCCATCCATGATCCGCCGCCCCAAGGTTGGAAGTGGAAGAACATCGTTTGACACGTGTTGATGAAGTGAGGATTGCAAGGTATGCTTTCCGCCAGCGACATTCCGAGACCACGTCTTTGGGAAATTTGGGACCTCCAAGCGAGGGCGAGCAGCTCCGCGTCCTATGAGTGGTGGATGCACCAATAGACGAGTCGCCTTGTCCAGCGGTTGACCTTCAAACTCGCAAATCACCAACTCGGCGTTTCCAGAGGGGGAGGAGACATCCTTGAAGTAAGCCATCTCGTCTACAAAAAAATATATATAAGCAAAGATCAAAAAAAAAAAAAAAAAAAAACAACAACACAAGAGAAATAAGCCTACCCTAGAATGAGAGAAATCAAAATGTGAGAAGTTGAGAATGATAAAGTTCTCTCATGGTGAGGGGTTTATATAGTGTCTAAAAAAAAATTGAGATATGGAAAGACATGTATAAGGGGAGGAAGAAGATAAGGAAATAAAAAAAAAAGGAAGGAAGATAAAAATAAAAACAAAGAATAAAGGAAAGAATATATATATATATATATATGATGTGTATATATATATATAATTTTTTGGCAAAAACGCCATCCAAAAAAAAAAAAAAAAAAAAAAAATTTGCATAAAAAAAATGGCAAAAACGCCATTTACAAAAAAAAAATCCAAAAAAAAAAAAAAAAAAAAATTGCATAAAAAAAATGGCAAAAACGCCATTTACAAAAAAAAATGCAAAAAAAAAAAAAAAAAAAAAAAATGGCAAAAGAAAAAAAAACGCCATTAAAAAAAAAAAAAAAAATTCTTTTTCTATGTTTCGAGACTCGTTCACGCCTTAAACATTTTGCGTCGGCTTAAACAAGTCTCGATGGGGCATTTTGTAGACACTAAAAATATATGTCTAAAATCAATTAAATATCATGTATTTTGGAAGAAAATAAAATTCCAATAAAATAAATATATGGTATTTAATTATGCACATATGTTAATTTTTGTACAATAAATATCAACCATTAATGCAAAATCTGCTTAAAATGGAAGATATCGTACAAATATTACGTGCATAAATAGAGCCATAATAAATTTGGCAGCAAAATAAATTAATCTTGTCAATAAAGGAAGTATATAAATTAATATCTTCCAAACAAGGCAATGATATAAAGATCTTGTCAATAAAGGAAGTATATAAATTAATATCTTCCAAAAAAGGCAATGATATAAAGATTTTGACGAGAAAGGAAGGTGCATAATCAAATCCGTCAAAAATGGAAAACGGCATCCGAGGGAAAAGGAAAGATTATAAAATCTTTCCATCCACGTGGCACCATCCGAAAAGGAAGCCAAGGCCACCCTCCCCTATAAATAGGAGCCTTGGCCAATTCATTTAGACACCGAAGTTCATTTGAAGACTCGCGCAAGGGTAAGTCTCTCTAGACTCTCTGCAATGTTCTTCATTGTTCTTCGTGTCCTTCGAAGCGTTCTTCGTCGAAAAGTCACCGATTTGGACAAATGATCCAATATTGGTTGACGAATCGATGAAGTTAACGTTCTTCGTCGTATGTCCGAGCCGGAGGAAGGATCAAATCTCTCAAAGCTATCGAGGAATCCATCAAAGCCAAGGAAGAGCCTCCAAAGTCGCTCCCAAAGCTTGAAGATGTTCGTCGCGTTCTTCATAAAAGGCGCAAACCAGGCCCTCTTCGATCCAAAAGTCAAAGGGACACGCCGCCAAAAGCGTTATGGAGCACTAAATCTCTCCCTCAAAGATCAAATTCCGTCGGATCATCCAAAGGAGGCATCAATCCGAAGCCGACGATCAAAATCGCCAACATGGATACCAAAGTCCTTCAAAAGCCGGCGAAGTCAAACCGAAGACCAAAATCCCTTCGGATCAAAGAAGCCACCCAAATCCAAATTGGAAAAATGGATCGACCCGGAGAGAGAATCAAAGGATCCGAATAGAGAATAGGACCCGCATTAAATTTAAATACAAATATAATTTGTACAAATTTTGTGTTTATAAAAATATAACACAATTTTTTTGTCTACAATTAGTTATTTGAGTGATATTTTATTATATGAAATATTATATTTTTATTAATAATTAAAAGAGTAGCATGGTAAAGGAATTTGGGAAAAAAAAATGTGGAGTGAACAAACCTTAGTCTCGACTCTCTTATACTCTATAATGTACATGTTGTTTGTGTAGAAGAATATACATTTAGCTTTAGGTGTGTTTATTATAAATGATTAAAGTATATATATTATTTATCCATTCTAATTGCATAATTACTATGAAGTATTAAAGTGTCTTATTACTCCTACCAAAATTCTTTTGTTCTTTTTTTTTTTTTTTTTTGGAGTAAACAATCGAAGACCCAATTCATTTCAAAGGATCGCAAGTGAAGAAGTAGGGATGCAATTCACGATCGTTTTAAAGAAACTAAAAACCAAACTCATCTTCTAAACGATACAGGAAATTCACAAGGCCGGCATGGACATTAGTTATCATAAGCTTTCTTGAGATCGATCTTCGAACTTTTAATTCAAACAATCGAATTGGTTTATTCTAGCGAGCAAACATGTGGATTTAAGACAAGTGAAACGTGTTGTCTTAGCATCGACCACTACACATAATCTAGCAAACATAAAATCTACGGACACAATTGAAGATCCCCGTCAACCATCCAATGATGGTAAGGCGTAGTCTTGAAGAAGCACCAATTTGGCTCGTCCACCATATTCTTCCGGCAATACTTCTTCTCCAATTTCCTCAACAAACTCTCGTCTCTCATCTTCATTCCTCACAATCACAATCTGAAAATAATAATAATAATAATAATAATAATAATAATAATAAGAACGAAATTATAACAAGACCATATTCTTAAACTAAACAAAAAACATGATAGAATATGGTGCCGGCAAGAAATTGACATATATATAGATAGATATGAGGTGTTTATTATGCGACAACACACAATATAACTATAGACAGCACAACATTTATATTGATATACTACAAATACAGAACATACACAATATAACTATAAACAACACAATATTTATATTGATATACAATACATAATATAGTCTCATACAACACATGCTACTACTAGGGGTGTGTTTCTTTGGTAAAAGTTTGAAATTTTTTTATTTGAATTCGATATTAAAATAATATCTAATAAAATATTTTATGAGAGAAAAATTATATATTTTTTCAAAAAATGAAAATAGTAAAATTTGGGGAATTTGTGTTAAATAAATACACTGATTTCAACACAACAAATATATATTCATACAACACACCTATAAATATATGTGTTGTGTTAAATAAAAACGTATATTGTCTGTTTGTTTTATATGTCAATTTTCCCGGTCAGCACTGTAACTACTCTGATATAGATATGAACGAATGATTTAATTTCTACCTTCTGTAAGGTGGCTTTGTCGAGAAACCGTGAAACTAATCTCCAAACGCTAACGAAAAACCACGGCATGTTCAAAATGTAACACTTGGCTAAACGCTCCGGATAATACCCCTACGCAAAATAAAAACAACACTAGTTATAACCCGAAAAAATTCTTCGGAATGCTACAATAAAAGGGTGAGATAGGATCTATCTCTTACTTGCAAGAATTGAAATCCGGTGATCATCCCACGAACATCGACATTCTTGTAGGAAAGCTTGTCGAGATCAAGAATACAAACTATTTTCTCGTTTCCCATCTCTTTGCCTTTAAAGCCACTGATCACATATCGAGACAACAGTGTCATAAGTCCAAAGCAAAAAAAACATTGGATTTTTTCCGCTACTACGATAACAAACCACACATCGCATTGTCTGAAAAATATACCTTGCGATGCTTTTGTCGAGTATGTAAACCACGAATTCTGAGCATATAGAAGAAGTTTCAAATCAGATATATGTGTTTCAAATCAATTTTTGACATTATTAGTCACAAATTTCTCCATCTAACATAAATCACATACAATATCTATTGTTATTCAGAATATTATATCAATAACTTATTTTTACCATAAGAGTACGTCTTTTACAATTTTTTTGCAAATTTATGTACCATATCCTCCCTTATTTCTATCTGAAAATATCGCATTTAACAATAATTTTACATCAAAATATCACAAATATAAAAGCATCATTTTTTTTTCTTTTGAAAATTTAAATTCTCTTTAAAACAAAATGTGTGTTGACTTTGTGTTCATCTACCAAATTTATACCATAAATTACAATAATGTTGTTATTATCATTACTCATTACTTCACCTAGAGGTGGCAAATCGGATCGTCCCGATTTTTTTCATATCGGCCCAGCTGACCCAACAATATTTTGGGCCGGATAGGCATGACCTGGTTTCAATCGATCTTGAAAATTTAGGCCCGAGCACGGTTCGCTTTCAAATCGGGCCGGCTTGTTTAGCCTATTTTATTTTATTTTTGTTTTTGTTTTTTAATTTTTTTAATTTTAAAATAATTTAATAAAATTTTATATGTTAAATGTGATAATTAAACTCATGATCTCATACTTACAATACAAACTAAACCATTAAATTACACATTTATTTTTAACATAAATTTATTTATTAATATATTTTATAAAATTATACTAGTATTAAATTTAAAAATTGGGTTGGACTAGGCACAACCTGCCGTTGATGGACTCGGGTATAGCCCGGTTCATACTCAAGCTGAGCCAAACACGGCCCGAAATTTCTTTAGTATATTTTTTTAGGTCCAAACATAATTTTTTTGTATCAGATTATGATCAAATCTTCGAATTATGTCTATTTGTTGTCGGTTCTATCTTCACTCATACACTATTAATTAAACCAAGTTCTTATTAAAATTCATTTCTAAAATAAATTATTAATAAATTTAACTGGCCATCAAACCACTTGAGCTACGACTCTTTTTATATATAAAAGTAGTTGTGGTAGATAGAAAGATAAAGTTATGTGTTTATCTCTTATGTTTTTTCTTTTTTTAAGAAATGTAGAGTGAATTATAGGATATTATTTGTTAAGAGAAAAAAATAATAATAATAAATAAATAAATGTATTTACTATGAACAACCAAATAAAATAAGAAATAATTATTATACTTACTCTTGAACTGAAGGTGATCCTTGGAAACGAAATGCCTGTGGGTTTTGACGATTATCAGCGGGTGGCCTGACTTGCGTGAAGGCCCCTGGAGATACAGTTTCTCGGAGCCTAATTCATCCTTAATTTCAGACACCAGAATGTTCCCAAGAGGTACGAACGAAGACCGCCATGTCTGCCATTCGACAAACATCTTTGCTGCTTTCTCGATGTTCATCGATCTCGCTATCAAAAATCGCATCAATGTCAGATCCCCAAATTCCTGCAAATCATCCATCCATTGCTGTTATAAGTTGAATTGAATTGAACTGAATTCTAGCTAGCTAGCTGATGAATTGAGGAGTAAATTAATCAAAAGCTCGAATTAATTAATTAATTGATTACCTGAGTTGAAGAAGAACCGAGCTGTGTTCGGACAGATTCCCTCATTTCCGCCACTGCTCGTCGCTGGTTTTCGTCCATTTCCTTACAGCTCAGATCGATCGAATGAATTAATTTGTGAATCGAATATATATGGCTTCAATTCATTGATTCTATTTATAGAATTCGTATATTCCTGAGGTCAATGCCTTGGTTCTTTCAAGCGGCTGATTTTTTTAACGAAATATATAATTATACTTCATGCTTGGGTTTGTTTAAATGTCCCTTTGATCTGATTTTTTTTATAATATCGTGTATTGAAATATTTTTTTAATTATTAATATTTCATTCATATATATATATTATTGATATACCTTGAATCTAATTTGTCACGGGGTCTCGTTTGATATATTCTCTTGGTTTATTTAAATAGATCTGGAATACGAAATTAGTAATTTGTAATTTAGCTGTCTTGAATAAAATATACTCCGTTTTAAAGCTTGTTATTATCTCTACCATAATTTTTTGTGGGAGTAAACAATTGAAGACCCTATTTGTTTCAAAGAATAGCTATAGCAAGTGAAGAAGTTGGGATGCAATTCGCGATCATTTTAAAGAAACTACAAACCAATCATCTTCTAAAAAGTCGCAAGGCGGGCGTGGACATTATCATAAGCTTTCTTGAGATTGACCTTCAAGCTTTAATTCAAACGATCAAATTGGTTTATTGTAGCGAACAAACATATGATTTTAAAACAAGTGAAACGTGTTGTCTTAGCATCGACACCCACGTATAAGAGCGAACATAAAACCTACGGACACAATTGAAGATCCCCATCAGTCATCCAATGGTGGTAAGACATAGTCTTGAAGAAGCACCAATTTGGCCCGTCCACCATATTCTTCCGGCAATACTTCTTCGCCAATTTCCTCGACAAACTCTTGTCTCTCCTCTTCATTCCTCACAATCACAATCTGACAAAACCATCCTTAACATTAACAATTCTAACATGACCATATTCTTAAGAAAACGATATATATATATATATATATATGTGAGTATATAGAAATTGATAGTGCATACTATTAGGCGGTTAGTATACTGAAAAATATATATATATATATAACAACACACAATATAGCTATAGACAACCCACGATTTATATTTACATATTACAAAACAAAAATTGACAATATATAATATAACCCCAGACAATACGTATTATTATTGATTTATAATATACAAAATATATTCATTCACCGCATTTAAGACAATATGCATATGTTGTGTTAAATAAAAGCATGGATTGTCAGTTCATTTTATACGTGCTAGTTGATACTAATTTGCCCCTAGTTATCACGGTAACTGTCCCAATATAGATATCGATAGTGAATTTGGTTTATACCTTCTCTAAGGTAGCTTTGTCGAGAAACTGTGAAATCAATCTCCACGCGCTAACGAAAAACCACGGCATGTCTAGAATGTAACACTTGGCTAAGCGTTCCGGATAATACCCCTATGCATGACGAAGACACGACTAGTTATGCCGCGACAAAAATTCTCGGAATATTGTAAGAAATGGTGAAATAGAATATATCACTTACTTGCAAGAACTGAAATCCCGTGATCATCCCACGAACATCCACATTCTTGTATGAAAGGTTGTTGAGATCAAGAACGGCGACTATTTTCTCGTTTCCTATCTCTTTACTTTTAAACCCACTGGTCAACAGGTAAAAAAAAAAAATAGTCTGAATTTTGAAAATATATATATATATTTATTTTCTTTTTCAAAAATTTCAGATAATAAAAAGATGTGTAGAGACTCAAAAGAAACACATTCTTTCGTTTTTTTCTCAAAGTACGAATGTATGATAACAAACCACATATGGCATTGTATGAAAGATATACCTTGCGATGCTCTTGTCGAGTGTGTAAACCACGAATTCTAAACAGATGGAAGAAGTTTCAAATTAGATACTATATATTCTCAACTCAATTATGACATTATTAGTCACAAATTTTTCTCTTTTATTTTGATTTGTAATATAAAAAATAATATTTTATATTGAATTATTAGCGGTAAATTAAATATATTATATATATTATGTTATTGTATATATATATTATTGCACATATGATATATTTTAATAATATTTATAAAAATTGTATTACCAAAATATTGTTGGTGAACAAACTTTATTTTTTTACTATAAGAGTTAGTCTTGTTTACATTTTTTTTTCAAATTTTGTATCATGTCATTCTATATTTGCTTCGCAACAATATATATATTTTTGTTTATTATATAACAATATATATTACTAAATTTGACAACACTATGTATTAAAAATACTATAAAATTTTATATTTATTTATATAAACATTATTATATCAAATTATAATATAAGGACAAAATTAGATGAAAAGATAAAATTTGATTTTTATCTCTTGTTGTTTTAAGAAAATTATATTTTTTTTCTATCTTAATTTAATATACTATTTTTATTATTTTTTATATCTCATTCAAAAATATTTGTTTTTAATTATAGTAAAATAATCATATTTAAATATCCAAAAATCATTAGCTTTTATGAAAATATTTATTTTATTTATATTTTCAAGCCACAAAAATATTAAAATAATTTGACATACATTCACTAAGTAATAAAATACTATAAATATGAATATATAATATAATAACTTATACTAAATAAAAATTTTAAATGAATCACGAGTCTCCCTATATCCCTAATATGATTTGTTTTGTCTGAGACGCAGTCAAAACAAATTTGCCTTCGGTCATTTCAATTTATATTCGTTTGGCCGGAAAAGAATTTTAAAAAAATAAATATACAAAAATATAAACCTTTTTTATAATAAAAATAATAATAATGTTTTTTAATTAAAAAAATAATAACAATCAAGAAGTGAACATAGATGAGAGAGAAAATACTACTACTAATATTATATTGTAAATATATTATATTTTAAATTAATAAATAAAATAAAATAAAAATCGATACATATATACGTACTCTTGAACTGAAGGTGATCCTTGGGAACGGAATGCCTGTGGATTTTTGCGACAACTATCGGGCGGCCTGACTTGCGTGATAGCCCTTGGAGATAAATTTTTTCTGAGGCTAATTCATCCTCAATTTCAGACACCGGAATGTTCCCAAGAGGTACGAACGAAGACCGCCATGTCTGCCATTCGACAAACATCTTTGCTGCTTTCTCGACATTCATCGATCTCGCTATCAGAAATCGCATCAATGTAAGATCCCCAAATTCCTGCAAATCATCCATCCATTGCTGTAATAAACTGAATTGAATTCTAGCTTGCTGATGAATTGAGTGAGTAAATTAAAAGCCCTAAATTAACTAATCTGTCGAATCGGAATGAATTGAAATCGAATATTTGAATAATTAATTAATCAATTACCTGAGTTGAAGAAGAACCGAGCTGTGTTCGGACAGATCCCCTCATCTCCGACACTGCTCGTCGCTGGTTTTCGTCCATTTTCTTACAGCTCAGCCTCAGCTCGATCGAATTGGGGGAAAATGACGAAATCAGAGCTTAGGAGCAGAGTTCACACAATTAATTTGTGGATCGAATATATATGGCTTCAATATATTCATTGATTCTATTTTTTTGAAAGAAAAAAAAAAAAGTCAGTATATTCCTAAGGTCCATGAATTGGTTCTTACAAGTGGCTGATATTGTAATGACATAATACTGAAAACGATGCTTCAAGTTCATGGTTGTGTTCGTTTGAATGTCCTTGTGATCTGATTTTTTTTTGTGATATCGTTTATTAATTTTTTAAAAAAATTATTAATATTTCATTCATACTTTTTAAAAGTATTCATTTTTATATTTATTTTTTGTTATTTTCGAAAACTATTTTTTTTTAGTTTCTCAATAAGTAATAGATTCTTATATGTTACAAATGTTTTTAAATTTATAATATTTGCAGACAAAAAAAATTCTCTCCTTTCATCTCTAAAATGTATATTTGCTCTTGATAAGCAAATTAATAAATATTAGTTAATACTCCCTCCATCCAATTTCTATTGTCCTAAAATATATTTACACTGATTGTCTTTTTGTTATGAATTGACAAATTTGTCTTTAATTGTAGGGTAAAGATTAAAAGTAATAAATGAATAAAGGATAAAAATGTAAAATTTGTGTTTAAAAAATGAAATAGGAGGATATTAGTTTGTGTGGATGGAGGGAGTAGTATTTAATTATGTAAAGATAAGTGCATCTCCAATGGCGCTAGGTTGGCTTTTATAGGGTGGATTGTCTCCAACGCCAAAAAAATGGACGCCAATTGGCGTTGTTTTACTTTTTTTTAATTTTTTAAATTTTTAAAATTTTAAATTTAATTTTTATTTTTTAAAAATTTTATTTTAAATTATAAAATAAAAAGTTGTTTAAAATAATGGGAAAATTTGAATATTTGAAGAATAATGAAAAATAGAGTTATGATTAAAATAAAATTACTGTAGCAACTGCATATTTGGAGTTAAAAGTGGATAAACCGAGTGGTTGAAGATGGCCTAAATATACACTTACAAGTAGAAATATATAATTATAAATAAATAAAAAGGAGAGGTATTTATGATTAATATGGTCCAAAAAAATAAAAATAAAAAGTAGAGTGTGTTTCTTTTGATAAGTTTTAAAAAAAAAAAGAAATTTAGTTTAAATTTAGTATTAAAATAATCTATAACAAGATATCTTGTGAAAAAAAAAATTATATTTCTTTTGAAAAATATATAGTTTAAATAGTAAAATTTTGGATTTGATTGTTAAATAAACACACCCAAAAACATATAAAAACAAAATAAAAATACACTACGTTATCAAAAAAAATTATAATAATAATTAATATATAATTTTTATTAAACATAGCATAAGATAATAAATATTATTAAAGCTGATGTAGGTAGTATTATTTTCAAAATTAGTTCAATCATTTTAAATTAAATTAAAATAAACAAAATAAAATCATATGATTATATTTTAATTCTATTTAAAACTTGATGATGAACTCGATCCATTGACTTTTTTTTTTTTTACGTGGGAATACGCAATCGTTATCCGAAAGTGCACACTAGGTAAATCTCCGGCCGAACCTAATACCCTGCGAACCAGATCCAACAGAAAAGTCACACTAGGCAAACTATATCGATACATTGACTTTGACTACGCACAAGTGGGACAAAGGTATAAGAGTCTGACACAAGTTAATAATCCAAACTTTAGGGAGAAATTTTATATGAAATTCTTTTTAAAATTAAAAATAGCATGTGTAAGATGTAATATTTTAAATAATTGCTTCGATTACATGTTGATTTCTTAAAAAGTACAATAAAATATTTGAGATAGTATTAATTTTAGGTGCAATAACAGCGCTATGTGAAATTAGAAATATATGTCATTTATATATACAGTACTCTATACAAATATATCTAGTGTTATATAAAAATATATATTTTCTTTTCGTTCAATACAATACTCTTATTTACCATTTTTGTCTGTTCCATAATAATAATTTTATTTGTAAAACTACTATGGCTTTATTATTATTATTATTATTACATCATTGTTACTATTTTTTACACTAATACACTCGCAATGGCAAAAAAAAAATCATTTATCAATATTTTTTACTAAATACCAATATAATATCAATATTTCTTAAATCTATACTTTTGGGAGAAAGTATATGATATTTTATACAAGTATCTGTGGTGTTTTATATTGTGTTGTTAATTTTTCAAATAGCATTTATTTGAGATTTAATAAAGCACTGATAAAAAATTTAAAAGAAGTCAATCAAAAATTCTATAGACACATATTTTAAGCATAATACATGTTATCTTAACTTTTGTTTGATGTTATTTAAACAATTGTTTGTAAAGATTTGAACGATATTATATGAAAATTTTAGCATTATGTTTTAGTTAATGTTGTCCGCAGATGGTCTAATCAACCAACGAACTCCAACGGACAGTTGCTATCCATTTGATTGTAAGTTCAACCAATAAGAGGTGCAATCTAAATGTTACCGAAATTGGATGAATTAGTGAAGATCCAAGTTAGAAACTTCGAAAATACCCTATGGTATTCATTTTTATTTTATTTTTATTTTTTTTTATAATGTGAGAATTCGCAGCTGTTACCCGAAAGTTCACACTTGCTAAACCCAAGAATTTACAATGCATATGTAGGAATTTATGTGTATTTGTTGTCTTGAAGTTGGAGGGCCCCGATGTAGGTGAAATTGGAAGCTGAACTGAGTTAAAAAATTGTTTTGTATTTCGTATTTGCCGTGAGTCTGTTTATGTGTTATAAGTGCTGGGTTGTTGCTGTTTGATTTTGACCAAATTTGGGACCTAACAATATTTAAATTAAATTGGGCCATTCGTGTAGAGGTATATGTATGTATGCAATTGACCTTATCTTCTCCGCAAAGCAGATTGCAATTTGCAAACCCTAACCCTAATTTTACTTCAATTTTTCCATCCATTAATTGCTAAAAATCCCCAAATGTTGAAGAGCTTCACCGCCTCCACATCCAATCCCAGACTACTAATCCCTCGCGCCGCTCCATTCTCCGGCGCCTCCTCAATCCACGTATCCGCCGCGCACTTCTCCCCATCCGGCGGCGCGCTAAAATTCAATTGCCGGCGAGCCTCTGGACCGCGCCGGCGTGCTCGGCGGAGAATTAGAGACGACGGCGGCAAGGAAGAGGAGGAAAGTGAGTACAATGAAGAGATAGCTTTACTGGAGGCGTATACGCAGGCGGTCAAAGACGAGGTTCTCATCGTCCGCGCGGCGGTGGACGATGAAGAGGTTGAAGTCGTCGTCTTCAAGGTAAGTACGATTGATCGATTGCAATGAAATATTTGGTTGGGGAAATTGGAATTCGGACTTAGTTAAGGGTGAAATTAGGGATTTTCATCGTGCCTGAGCTACGAGACGAGCTCGGATCCGTCGCGGAGCGTGATTCCGGCGAGGGCGGTGATCGGCAGCGTCGACAGAGTGAAAGGACCGTTCGATCCTTCTAATGTTGAATACATTGAGAGAGGGCTCAGTTTCCATCAAATTAAGACCCGCCTGCAAAATCAAATTAGTAAATAAATTAAATTATATATATATATGTATTAGAAATTGCCATTGTTGCTTCATTATAATTAAGGTGTTAACAGGGTTTGAACCGTTTATACAAATTTTGTTATAAGTAGAGCTATTAAACTAATCAAATTGTTATTGAATTTGATTTAAGTTCAGTTTAAGTTCGTTGGGCCGAACCTAGCAACATAAATAAGTTTGTTTTATTAATTAAAAAATAAATAAATAATATCATATCCAAACAAGCTTGACTTAGCCAAATGGGCTTATTCGAGCCAAATACGAACAAAGATTCAAACAATAAGATTTCGAACAATACAATCGAACTCAACATTAAAAAATAAATACAAATACTTAAAATTTTGTTAAATTTAGGTGGGTGGATTGGACTAGCCTAATTTACTACACCAATAACCTAACATTGAATGATTTACAGAAGTAACAAGTAACAAACCATGATGATGAAATCACCCAAAACGCACACTCTAATTCAATGCATTGTCAACTAATCCAACACAGATATTCAAGCACAAAAACACCACCCAATAGAATCCACCCACGTGGCAACTAGCAATCCGATCCACCAATAGCAGATTTTCAGCACCACTACGTGTGGTTCCGAGTCCTGCCCCAGTAGCACGTGCACCCACGTGACAAAACCAGATTTCTCTGGAAGGCAGGGCAGCAGCATATTCTCAAAACATACAACAAACACAGCACCACCTAACCCCACCCCACCCCACCCCACTGGATATGGTCATACACAAAGTCATAATTTTCAACCACAGCCTGTAACTTATTCATTCAATATCATAATTCATATCATTAAAAAGTAACAACAATAATAACAAATAAATAAATCAACTAACCAAAATTAAATAAAGAACAACACAACCTTTCCTAACTGTGGATGAATTAGAACATAAAGAGAAGGAAACAAAATCATCTCATCATTCATATTCATATATCTGATAGAGAACAAAAATATATCAACAACAAAAAACATCAGAGATAGAAATCAATCAATCACGCTAACACCTGCAGATTTAAAAATATCGACTGCAAACAAACACAGAATGTTGTAGGAGGGAGGCCAAGGGGGAGGATAGATATATATAGATAGATAGATAGATAGATAGATAAAAAAACCGACAAAGACGAGGACGAAGCTAGTACCTATACAACATCGACAAATTCATCATACTGCCACTCCAAATGTATCTGCCAAAAGGTTAGCTCGGATTTGATATCCTTCATGTTCATGCTGACCATGATCACTAAGCAGAGGGAGTTCGATTACAGTCTAAGTCAGAAAGCGAAGCACACCGGTGAGATTTTGATTTTTGTCGTCTTTCCACAGTAGAGTAGGGTAGATTTGTTCTTCTCGTGCTTGTTTTCGACCATACAAACAGTGAACAGGGGGGTAAACATATAAAATCACAAGTGTAAAAAAGGACACGAGACAAACAAGGATTTATACGGAGCAGTTCCACCGGGCAGGCGACACGGGTGTTATCTGTTGTTGTTATTGAGTGCTGCGCGTCAATCCACTTCTCGATACACTTCTGCATATAACGATAGCTTGCGGATTGAAGAACATAAAAAATATATATATTGTGCATTAAGGGCATCAATGCAAGCAATTCAGATAGCTTCAAGTGAATTCTTTAGCATGTAAATACAGAAAACACAGTCAATATAGAGGTACAAAAGATGGATCGCGTGAATTGTTTAGTTCAAAATATATATGTATATATATGAAAAAAGAAACGATAAATTCATTAGTACATGCCTCTATCACATGTGGCACAGATTTAATACGGTATATACTTTTGCTATTTGTTGACCTTTATAGTAAAAAACAATATGATTATTTACTAAAAAAAATGAGAATATTTTAGACGAAAGATGAAAAAATGAAAGTAAGCATAAATATTTTTATGTGACAGAGGAAGTATATATTTAGATTTTCATAGATAACAGTGAAACAATCTTAACTAAGTATCGGTGGTCTTTAGAAGGAGGATAGCATTCATTCTAGAGTCACACACACACACATATATATATATTTAAAAAAATTTCCTCTAACAGAACCGTGAAGGAAAGATGCCGACATAACTTGCAATAAGAAACAGGCATACCTTCCTGGTTGCAACTGAGCAGTGTTAACTGAACTCCTCGAATTCCCAAGTCTTTTGGCCCGATTTTCATGTTCCTTGTCGACACGCATTGCAGCCACCTCCTTCTCCATGGCAGCAACCTCCCTTCTCATCTTTTTCGCCTCAACTTCCATTGCTTTAGTTAAAGTCTCTACCTTCTTTGCTAACATCTGATGACAATTGGAGAAATTTAATCACGAGAACAAGTTGAAGGATCATAACCCAATTAATGAACTGAACCAACCTCAATTGCATCATCCTTATCTTTAAGGCTCTGATCTTTTTCATGGCCTGCTTTCCTCAAGGCAACCACTTCTTTTTGCAACAGATCATATAGAAGCCCAGGCACAGTGTCATCTCTCTCGGTGACTTGTATATCATTGTTTTTTTCCTCCGGAGCTGCTTTCCACGTACTATTTTGTGTCTCAGTTTCTTTAGTTCCATCACAAGACTGGCTTTGCTTAAAATTTGGCCCTAATCCATTCAAGAGAACTTTGCTTCTCTCTGAAGACCGTGAACCACCATCGAAGGACTTTGATGTTCCCTTTGCATGCTTCAACACTGTACTGCTACCAGAAGATCTCAATTGAAATGATGGTGATCGCTTAGGTAAAAATCCATTGGATGTCAATTTGGAAATGTTATCAGCTCCACCAAGTGACTGGCGTCGTGCAGTGCCATTGCTTGTGCTTCTTCCATCTGCAGTTACCCGAGTTGTTGGATTCGGTGACCTCAATGTTTCTTCAAGAACTTTCAGACGTAGTTGATACTTTTCCTGAAGGAAATAAAAGCTTACTTCAATTTTAAGAAATTTCTCTGAGTATTTAGCTGTAGGTTATCAGTGTATTGACATAATTATTAAACATTGCCAATTACTTTCAATTGGGCTTCAGATTTCGCAGCTCTATCGGTTATAGCAAGCTTGTCCCTGAGCTGTTGCATTTCACCCTATAAAATAGAAAAAACAGATTTTGAGAATATATCCAACAATAAAATCAAAATACAAGACCACCCATAGCACAGGAAACTGCTTGAAAAGAGAAGAAACGAAGGATATACATACCTGCAAGAATCTTCTTTCTTCTAGCCATTGTTTCACAGGCATAACCTTGTCATTAGCATCTTTCCATTCATTAGCTACCACAGTTGCAACCCTATTTGCCGTCACTTTGGCACGAGCTAATTCCCTGTCGAGGGTTTTTCTTTCCTCCTGCAAACAATAACATAAAGTCCTTCACTTGTCTGTAGTTCGACATAGAATTCATCACGGTATATGATAAAAACAAAAATTAAATGCATATGCAAATAAGGTTCTTTACATTCAACTCCTGAACTTTCCGCTGATAGTCACGTACAGCATTGGCAGCAGCACCACCAGCAAGGACAGCCTCTTCAAGCTCACGAACTGTTTGAGTAAGCTTCTCAACCTCCGCAACCTTTTGTCGATGCATTTTATCTAATATCTTATTCTCTTCCTGACAACAGGAATGCTCTCATGTTAGAGTAAGAAGAAAATTACCAGTAAATGTAAATCAGTAATTATCAAATGGCAGCTACCAACTGAATGAAACAGCACAAAAACTTTCCAACACCTGACAAATTTCTATCTGCTTCATCAATTCTTGGTTCTTGTTTTGAAGATCATCAACCATAGAAGCTTTGGCCAGTGCTGCCTGTACAGTTCTTTCGGCTTCTAGTAAGGCAGCCTCTTTTGATTTTGTGAGCCGGTCCAGTGCTTTGTTATCATCCTGCAACTTTGCAATCTAGACAGAAAGGCAGCATACATATATATATATATATATGAGTAATGCCATAGAAGAAAAAATATTTCTAACTATAAGACCATTTAGCTTAATTCCAAACCTCCTGCCGAGCAAGTTTGAGTTCAGCCTCCAATGGAGCCAGGATAGCTTCAATAGGAGGCATGTCATCATCCTTTTGAGCAGCATGAACCCTCCGTAGAGTAGCTTCTGCTGCAAATTGGGCTGCCATGGAGGCCTTCTTTTCATCGTTAATTCTCTTAATTTCAAGATTCTGCCCAAAAATTTAAAGAGCAAAATGATGCCACTGGAATATACAACAACCATGAAGGCGCAGAGACAAGTAGCTGAGCTTCAAGCCACATGTAATACCTTGCTTTCTAAAAGAGATTCTGTCAATTTGAGCTTCTCCTCCATCTTTCCCAACTCATCAGTGAGCTAAAACAACATGAAGAATCTTACATTTCACAGATGTTCATGGGTTTACACTGGAAGACAACTAAGAGATAAAAGAAAACCAAGAGCTGTGGTGGAAGGAAATATGAATGAATGCATTGAATGACATCCAAGAGTACAGCAATATGAAACAGTGTGAAGACACTCTAGTTCATGCTTAAAAACAGAGGACATACATCCTCAAGTTTAACCGAAAAATTCAGACACGAACTTTTACTGTAAACTGGCACCCCTTCAGCATCAACCACTTTATTTTGCCATTCATAGAAGATAATTTTCGAATTTACAGAGACTGACCAGTCTTAAAACATTTTCCAATTTCCACAATATATATCTACTACCTTGTAAGACACACGACCCTAGCACCTCCGAATTATCAATTGGAATATCTTGAAATCCATCCTATTGAGAAAAATATTTAACAAAAGACTCCAACTACCTTGTTCATTTAAGCAAGTATATTTCCCAATGATTTTCATATACTACTTGGCTCAACACAAGGCCAGATCAAGAAGGGAAGTTGAGACCATCGAGCAATGACTGAGCAAAGCAGGTAATGTAATATGAGAAAATTGCCAATAAGCTTCCATTTTTCTTGTAAAATTTCCAAAGCTAACATCAGATTGCAAGTAAACATCACTAATTAATTCGTTCTGTTAGGTTTATATCTTTCAACGTCTCAGGAAAGAATAATTGATACTAACGTTATACCATGCAAGGCAGAATCATTTCAAGCTATGAATTACATCATGTAAGCATTAACATCTTAAATGATGAACAGAGAACAAAAATGCAAATATCATAAACCTAGCCATAATTTTTTGGAAAAGAAGAAGTACATACCTCTTCAACAGCTTTTTCACGAAGCCTCTCGGATAACTTCAAGGCCTTGATCTGCGACTGCGCTTCCCCCAATTCCCTCTCCTTATCTGCAAACAGCAAAACCACAAGTTAAAATCCCATTCTTCGAACATATGAGATGCAGTAAAAAATAATGATAATGAGTGTTAAAATTATTTGCAGATCTAAGCTGTCGAGCCGCCCATGCTTCCATCAAAACAGATTTGTTTCCAAAATTAAGACAGATACAGATGCCAAACCACGGCACAAATGAAGTAACGCATAAAAACGGCAGTTTTTCACATCAAATCGTAGCTCGAATCCAGTGGATCCAGCTAAATACACTGACCTCTGACTTCGTTCTCCAGTCGATTGAGCTCCAACTTCACCGGATCCGAACCGTGAAGCAGGTTTATAAAATCATCAGCATCCAGGCTTGGCCGTACGGACGCCCTCCTCCTCCCGCCCTTTCCCCCCTCCCTGAACGACGCCGACACCGCCAGCGGTGCCGCCACAGGCGCATTGCCGCTGGTCTCTCCGGAAATCAGCTCCGCCGACATGCCAGCACTGCCCTCGCCAGAAACCTCCGCCATCGCCGCCGATCTTAATCACTTCCTACACCGCGCATCAAATCTCCACACAACACCGGCACCAAATTCCCTAAACACACCAGTAATCTTTTTCCCAAAAAAACTGTGAATTCCAGAGAGAGAGAGAGACGATTTCAGTTCAAATTCGAAGGAACATTATAGAGCAATCTGAAGACCGGAAGAACGAAAAAGTGACACGGTAGAGATTTCGAGTTCAAATTCATGTGCTTTTTCCCTTCTCTCTCTCTCTCTCTCTCTCTCTCTCTGGTTCTAAGTCTATCGGTGCTGGTACAGTTTACGAAATTACATAAAAGCCCCGGACCAAACGTGGGGCACAGCATCAATGCTAATGGATATATCTGTCTTTTCAGTTGTTAAGAGGAGTGGCTTAAGAAAAGTTTATCGGGAGGGAAGATTTTTGGGATTTATATATGTAATAATAATTTTGAGTTTGAGATTTTAATTTGTCATTGAATTTAAATACTATTATATTAATGTTTATTTCTATTTTGAAACGTTAAATTAAAGAATAATATTTTATTAAATATTTTTATTTTTTTCATAAATATCTTTGTTATATATCATATTATGATTTTTATATAAAAAAAAATTAAGATAAAAAAATCATTAAATTATTTTTAACTATTTATTCTAATTAAAATATTAGTATTATTTTTTAAGTATTGTATCAATATTAAATATTTACTTTGTATTTAGACTGATGGAGTATAATATATTATTAAAAAATTAATAGTAAAATTGAATAGTAAAATTTTTTTTAACTCAAAAACAAACAAACCTTATTAGCTTGTTTGTTTGTGAGTTTGTTTTTGTATTTTGCTTTTTTAATAGTAAAAAGTTAAATTTAAATAATTTTTTGATGTAATATAAATAAAAGTTTATGTGATTTTTTTTAAATTTAAAATAAATTTATAATATAATATAAAAGAGGAAAAAAAAAGTACTGTTTGATGTAATATTTATAGAAAAAAAAAAGAATTTGAACACTAAAAATATGTATATTACTTAGTACTGTATAGTTCTATATATATGTATATTATTATAAAAAAATTTCAAAAAATTATTATATTAAATATTTAGGTTTGTGTTTGTTTGATTAACTTTATTTAATGTTTATTATTTATTCAATAAAGATGAGTAAGGTTTAAATAGACACATTTTCTATATACAATTGTCTTATCTAATAAATATCACATTTTTATTTATAATGTACTCTCATTCTTAACTTTATTTATCAAAATACTATCACACATTATACATAAGTTTAAGGATATTATTGACATTTAAATATTATACAAACTCACTGATAGTGTTATTGCTTTTTTAATTTAATATAAAATTAGTTTGTAGCTGTTTAGGTCAAATGATAGTGTTTTTAATAATAGTGAAAATATTTTAAATACAAACAAGAAGAGAAGACATCCTTCTTTATTAAATACATGAATTGAATGCTTAAATAAAAACCCATTCATTCAATTTATTATCATTTATTATATGCACTAATTGATTGAATTCATTACTTCATTGACTAATCATTTATTTTTATACAAATTTGTCACTTAATTTTATTTATTATTTTTGAAATGACAATGAAAACTTGGCAATGTTCATAATATTTTTGAAATACATGAATATATATATATATATATTATACCATAATTTATAAATATATAAAAAAATATAAAATTATGAACTGAGAATCCAATATTTGGTTTAAACTCGTTACCTTATGATCACGAGTCGACCCACACATGACTGGGTCATCCAAAAATTTATAAATATATTAAGGGTGTGTTTGTTTGGGGGTTTGAATTTTGAGTTGGGATTTGAATAGTTGTATGATGTGATATAAATAAGTGTTGATGTGATATTTTGAATGTAAAATTAATTTTTAGTATAATATAAAAAAATGAAAAATAGGTGTTTGATTTGATATTTTTGGAGAAAAAATTGGATGAATAGTGTAAATCCAATCCAATCCCCCAAACAAACACACCCTTATTGAAATACAGAAACACTACAAGAAAAAATTATTTTGTAATAAAAAATTTTTGTCTCTAAATCTATTTTTTCTGTTACTAATGACATTAGAGACGGAATTAGGAATGGAATTACGTTAGGTACGTGAACTTTAGGGACGAAATTCTATTACAAATATATTATTTTTTTTAAGTGAAAAGTTGTGTATGTTTAGGATTTTCTACATGACTTGTACTATTTACTGGTATTTAAAAAATAAAATAAAATATCTAATCAAACTTATAATTTTTTAGTTTATCATTATATTAATAATTAATTTTATATTTAAAATATTATATTAACACTTATTTGTATTATATCGAATATAAATTTAACTTTTTATACGGTTCAAAATCTATTATTGAAATTTTAAACAAAAACTTATTAGTAATAAAAAATAAAAAGTTTGTTCATACAATGTTTTTTTAATGAAATAAAGTATACATATTATAGTATATTGTATTTTTTTTACTCCCTCCGTCCCAAATATCGTGTGTGTTACACTATAGACACGGTATTTTAGGAGGGGTGTAATTAGTAGATAATTAATAATGTATCAGTGAAAATAATTATGCTATAATATAAATAATTATAGATTAAGATTAACATAACTTAATTAAAATTAAAAAATTTAAAATGAGATTAAACTGTGTAATCATTTTCAAAAAAGGAAAGTGACATGGTACGTGGGACGGACAAAAACGGCAACGTGGACATGGTATTTGGGACGGAGGGAGTATTATGTTAACATAAATCATTTATTGTTTGTCTTATATTGCGTCGGAGTTTGAACTCATGATCTTACTATCACGAATTCATCCCCATGTTTTTTTGCTTTTTTTGTGCTTATGTTGTTTGTTGAAATTCGACAACTCAAGTCACATTAGGAAAATCATGTGTGACAAGTGTATCTAAACTCATGATCTTACTGTCGCTTTTTTTGTGTAGTGTATTTGGTTTCCATCCATCAATTATTTAGTGTTTTGTTTGAAGTCTATTTTTTCTTTTTTAATGTAAAGTATATAAAACAGTATTGATAATATAAAAAAAAATAAATAGAATTTTGAGTTAAATGTTAATTTTTGTTGAGAAAATAGAATATATGCTACTTTCGTCCGATTGCAAGAGTTACATTTACTACAAATAAAAAGAAAAGGACAAAATGTTTATATTAGTATCTTATAATACAAATATAATGAAATATGTATAATAATTATATAAATATAAAAATATAGGGTAAATTGTTTTTTTAGTCCCGTAACTGGACTTCTTTATCATTTTAGTCCCGTAAGTGGAAGCCTATCGCAAACTAGTCTCATAAGTAAAAATTTTTCGCTGTTTTAGTCCTCCGGCGCCGGAGATGCCTGCGTGGCTCGCCGGAGGTGACGTGTCCGCCAGGTCAGCGATACCTGGACCTGGCGGATACGTTGATTTTTTTTTTTTCATTTTTTAAAATTTTTTAAAACTTATTTTTTATTTTATTTGTATTTTTTTATTTGGTCCAATTAAAAAATAAAAAATAATAATAATAATAAATCCACGTGTCCGCCAGGTGTCGTTAACCTGGCGGGACACCTGGCGGACACGTCACCTCCGGCGAGCCACGCGGGCGTCTCCGGCACCAGAGGACTAAAACGACGATAATTTTTCACTTATGGGACTAGTTTGCGACATGCTCCACTTACGAGACTAAAATGATAAAGGGGCCAGTTACGGGACTAAAAAAACAGTTTACCCTAAAAATATATTTTATGTTAAATATAATAATGCAAAAGATAAATATAACTATTGTTATCGGACGGATAAAATATTATATATATTAAAAATACTATCGCTAAAAAAATTTAGACGAACAAAACCTTCGTCTCACTCGTACTTTATTTTTCACGCTACTAAATACGATAATATTTTATAATACTATATTTTTATTTTTATTTACTCAAACTTACTTGTTGATAATATACTCTTTTTGTTCGAAATCAAAAGAATTATGGTTTTGTAGTAGATTAAGAAATAATAATACTATTTTATTAGTTAGTTGAAGTGTGTCTAATAAATTTGGACATTTAATGCTATTTGACTTTATGTATAAATAATTTGTATATATAATTGTATGTTTGTAATTTAAGTAGAAGTTAAAAGATATTTTAGTATTAATATATGATTATTTTTTAAAAAATATAAAATACTCCCTCCGTCATTCAAATATACGTTTACTTTTCTTTTTGAATTGTCATCGAAAAATATTATCATTTCCTTTTTAAGTAAAAAATCATTTCAGTTTTGTACTGTTTTTTACTATAAAGGGAAAAATTAACAATTATTACTCACTTTTATTAAAATTAGTGTCCGATCAAATGAGTACACATTTACATGACGGAGGGAGTACATAATTTGAAGTGAGTCCAACAAAAATGGTAAAAAAATTATTTGAATTGGGATAGAAGAAATATATAAATACATATAATCTAATTGTGTGTTTGTTGGGTGTTTGGATTTTGAGTTTAGATTTGAATAGTAAAAAAATTGAATTTTCATAATTGTATGATATGATATAAATAGGTGTTGTGATATTTTTTAATATAATATAAAATATAAAATATAGATATTTAATTTAATATTTTTTTAGAAAAAAGTTGACGAATATTTCTCTAAAATAAATAAAACAATAGAGTGGCATAAGCAAAATCTTACGAGTGGCATTGAAAAATAAATAAAAATAATAATAATAATAATAAGACAGCAGAAAAATGCTTAGCTGTTGATTAGCAGATAAACACAGTGACTGACGGACAGAGAAGTATATTATTAAACTAATATTCAATTATCATTATATCAAATTATCGTTATTAAGAGTGTTTTGTTTGAGGTCTGGGCGAAGGGGCCGGCAAATATATACTTATAGTGCTCTCTCTCCGTCCCAGATAGCGTGTCTGTTATACTGTAGATACGGTATTTTAAGAGGGATATAATTAGTAGATAATTAAGAATGTATTAGTGAAATAATTATCTTATAATATAAATAATTATAAATTAAGATTAAGATGACTAATTAGTTTCCTTAAAATTAAAAAAATTGAAATTAAAAAATTTAAAATGAGATTAAAGTTTGTAATTATTTTTTAAAAAAGAAAAATGACATGGTACGTGGGACGGACCAAAACGGCAGCATGGACATCGTATCTGCGACGGAGGGAGCAATATACTTTTAA